CAACATTTACAGGCAATAGTATAATAGTATATTAATAATTGGCATTATTATTTGAAAATATAAAGAATTTAACAAACATTCTAAAAACAGTATTTTTTATTGTTTTATCCTAATATTAGCACCTATTGAAATAAAACAAACATTAAGTCAATGGCTTACATTGAACTGAAGAATTATTCAAGGTAGTACGTTGACATTCTAAGAAGTAAAGCTGTCACGTAAATTTTGTGTTTAAGCAGAGAGACTAGACAAAAGAAAAAACACTTGAGTAAGGACTGTTGTCCAAAACTCTTGCCGAAAAGCGAGACACTCATTTCAAGACCCTAAGTCCCGAAATACCGAAATGTGCATAGTAAAGTTTTGAGCAGCGATTTGTGTACTATAGGTAACTATCTTTAACTTATTTTTAAAGTGTTTTGTTTGAGATAATTAATTGATTTATATGCCAATTTTAATATTTTATATATATTTTATATGATTATATAGTCTAAGTTTCCAGTGCTATTTATAGTTGTTAATAGGTTCAAAATATATAATTCAATAGAAAGTGTGCCTAATTGTCATAAATCTTAAACGAATTTTAAAACCGACTGATATTGCTGATTCTTTTGCGGATTTTTTCTCTGGCTCAATATCAGACCTTTTATCAAAAATAACAATAGAAAACTCAAACGAAGGACACAACACAAGTTCATGTAAAGATTCACTGTTTTTATATCTAGTAAGAAAATCCGAGGTAGTAACAATTATAACAACAATATCTTTAAAAAACTCTTGCGGAATTGATGAAATTTCATACAGTTTATTGTTCAATGCATTGCAATATATCGTGTAACCTTTGATTATTTAAATTAATTTGTCCTTTCAAAACGGTTCATTTCCTCGGATCCTAAATAGTGCAGTTATAATACCACTTTTTAAAAAAAGGAGAAAAAACAGAGTTTGCAATTTACCGTGGCATATCATTATTACCAGCATTTTCAAAGATCTACGAAAAAGCATTCCAAACCAGGCTAGTAAATTATATTAACTCGTTCAGCATTTTAAATCCTTATCAATTCGGTTTCCAATCATCCTAGAAAATTTTGATAAAAATAATAAATGTCTAACTTTCTTTTTTGATCTTTTTCGAGCCTTCGAGACAGTCAATCAAGAATTACTTTTACATAAACTTGAGTTGTATGGTATCAGGGACCCTGCTCTGATGTGGATAAAATATTTTTCCGCCTACCTCTATCCAAAGTATACATTTCCTGACCTCATTGCAGGGAGCAAAGTCATACTTTTCCTCCCTAGGGAGGAAAAGTAAAAGTGACGTCATGGTATGTCATAAATGAAATAGCTTATACGGCATTCTATTATATAAGTATGAATTTTACCGTTTATTTATAGAACACCCTGTATTTTACAAAATAGTAAAAATCAGTAAATTGTTATTTTAATTTAACGATTTTTACATTAATAATTTGACTTCAATTCATAGATTCATCCGATTTTCGAATTTAGGACAGAAATATTATAGCATGCTATGGTCGATTGACAGATCAGTTTTAAAGTGTGTTACGCTATAATATATCTACAAAATATAAAATAATATTTAAAACATGAGTGATTCAAGCGAATTTAAAGATATAAATAATACACCACCGGATATTTTGGAACAGTTTAATGCAACAGTTCAATCTCTATTACCCCAAAAATCTAAAGAAAAATACGAAAAACGGTATTAACATTTCAAGCAATGGGCAGAAGAAAAGCATATTCGTACTTACTCAGAAAAATAACTACTCTACCACAAATTAAAAATATGTAGGATGCAAGAATGAAAATGACATGCCTATAATTTATACTATACCTACTTCATAATTTTAGTTCTTTAATAAATTTTGTTTATTAGTTTCATGAATAAATTATTTAAAAATGACTTGTTATTTGAGGGAGGCGGAAAAATCATATGTATTACTTGGGAGTAAAGTGCCTTTTCCTCCCTTGGATGTTTACTGCCCTCCGCTTCGCGTCGGGCAGTAAACTTCATCCTGCGGGAGGAAAAGTGGCACTTTCCTCCCTAGTAATACAAATAGCTATTTTTAACTAACAGATCCCAAATAGTTCTATTTAATTAAAATTCATTAAAAAATCAACTTCTCGAAAAGTCAGTTCCGGTGTACCACAAGGTAGTGTCATAGATCCTACTCATTTTCTTCTTTTTATTGACGACTTAGCCAGCCCTAATATTTTGATCACTCAATTTGCTGATGATACATCATTTAGTGTTTTAAGTAAAGATACTCTTTTGTTACGAAATTAAGCTAACATGGCTGTCGAAACTATGAGTAGTTATTGTGACAACAATGGGCTATTTTTAAATGTTAATAAAACAAATATGTTATTATTTTCCCCAAAAGAGTTAAATTACAGTTTACTGGTCCGCCACAATGGCACATCTATAACTCAAAGTAGATGTGTCAAATTTTTAGTAGTTTATTTTGATTGTAATGTTTCTTGGGATTTTCATGTTGACCATATCACATCTAAATTAGCCACTCACTGTTATGTCCTTTGCCAGCTAAGACATTTCAGTAGATTTAATAGATTCGGGCGCCAGTTTATCAATGTGGTTTGCTCCACAACTTGGGAGGTGACTGAAAAATTCCAGAGGTCTCGTTTTTATCAGACTCTGAACATAGGAGGGTAACAATAACGGACTTTAATAATTATTGTTACGTAAAAGAAAATTCCCGGAAGCTGTTTTGCTGGGAGGTGGAACAAAACGTGAAACGATACCAGGTGTCGGAACTAGTCAAAGTCTTCTATTCGCAGCGTCGGTCTGCACTAGGTTTTTATGGTTTTTTAACGCGACACGCCGCCGTGCAAACTCGGTTATTAATTGAAAGTGGGGAATCGATGCTATCGTTCGGTTACTAATAACAAATTTTGATGGAAGAAATCATACACAGTAAACGTTTGAAATCTCGAATTTTTACCATTCAGGCTAAATGACAATTGGTAAAAGTAAATTAAAATATTAGGTTCGGTTTTCCGACGAATTCTGTATCTCAAATAATTAAATAAAAGTAACTTTGTTACATGCCCCCTTTCTTCGTTAAACAAAATAAGAGTTAATAACGTTTAAGCTTATTTTTTTTTCAACCTACCTAGTAAACACAAATTTAAAATAATTTTGCAACATGTTAAATTCTTTATGCGTGTTCGTATCTTACTTCTTTTTCTTCTTCGGTTATTATTTTTGGTAACATTATATCAATGCTATGGCATCTCGAAAATATGTCAGCTTGCACTCCAGGGAGCGCAACGTGAAGTTATTGCTTATAGCGGAGTCGGCATCTGAAAACATTTACAATCTTTGGACATAGTACTTACTAGACCACAACGGGAGCAAAATAAAAGTTTCTTTCTACTACAAGTATCCCTACAGTTGTCGGGATATCCACATCTCCAACACAGACCTCGGTCTACTCGCAAGTGAATCTCATCATCAGGCGAGGTGATATGCCACTCGGCAACCCCTGGGAGAGGGGTATTGAAATCTACAACGATAACCAGGGTTGATATTCTCGGGTTTTCAATAACGGGAGTGAGATCTTGTTCGAAAAGAGGGGCCTACGGACTAAACCAAAGAGGCCTATGATGTCAAAGGCACCATCGGAGTTATTAACGCTGAAACTTTGGTAACGAAGTGGGGGTACAAAAAGAGAGGAGTCAGATGAGGGTTCATAACCTTGGAAAGCGACCTCAGTGTCGGACTAAAAATAGTCAATAGTTGAGTCCAGTAAAAGGTCGGGTAGTATGACCTTGGAAAGACGAATAGATACAGACAGAGACGGTCGAAGAGACTTGACCAGAGGAAACCTTGGCTCCCCGGATGGCAGGTTAATATCTTGTAAAATGAGGCTTTTGGGATTATTTTCGAGATGATTTGCTAAAATAAATGTCAGCTTTTCGTTTATTTGATCTTGTCCAGATTACGCTTCTTAATTGGTAGCATTTGTACTATTGGATGTTTAAGCTTTCTGGGAGTTCGTCAATTTTCTACTGATTCATTTTTAATACCTTATCTTCGGGGAATCTAGTGATTTGCCATTTTTTCTTCCTTTCTATTTGTAATTATTAGTTCTTTTATTTCTCTAGGGTATACATTGTTTATGGTTTTTCTTGTAACTTTCTTACATAATTTCTTGCTATATGTCAGAGTAATGAAAGAGCAATCTTTTAATACAGCTCTAAGGGAATAATCCTATGACCTTTTTTTTAATAAAGTATCTAAACGTATATATCCTTGAAAAGGATTACCTATACTAATCCAGATATAGTAGTATTACTAAAAACACAAAATAGTTGACCAACTGTAGTTTTTTGAGATGTTCAGTAATATCCCTTTTAATATGTTCGTTAATTTGAATGCAATTTTCTGACAAAATGCCGTATATAGAAAAGTTAATGATTCTGTTCATGTTTCGAGGTATATTCTAGTCATATGCTATTTACAAATAATGCACAAAAATAGAAAATCAAATTACAACAAAACCAGAACAGTGCAACAATAATGATGTCACAAATAAAAGAGGCTTCAAACAGATAGCGTTTGGTTTCGACATTCCTAAAATGAATTCTATTAGGTACGCCGGAATATTTCGATATTTCCAATTGAATCAGAAATGTAGAATTATTTCGGTGGAAAACGGAATATTTCCGTAACCAAATTTGCTGGTTTTGTGAGTTCGTATCGATGAAATTGTTATAAAGTTTCCAAGAAGTATTCTCGATTTGACACGGAGTAATTTTTGTATTGTTAAAACGTTTATATCAATCTCTTTTGTAAAGAAATATAGAAACAGTAAATGTTAATAAATTGACTCTTGGTTTTACTCGTGTATTAGCAGATTTTATTTAGGATTCTAATACGTGTTTAGAGTTTAACCACAGTTTATAGACTGTGGTTTAACGGTTTCCAAAATGTCACATAAATTTGACATGTCCTCTAAAAATGCAAAATACAATTCCATTGAAAGAAGAAAGCTCAAATATTTAGTTATTTAACATTTTTACTACGTTGCCGAAACACACAAACCACACCAAAATTTCTACGTTCGAAAAGGAACATCAAAACATCGTATTCCCAACAAATTTTTGACAGGATGGAAAAACATTATTAAGGGAGAGAATCCATCAAACACGAAAGCAGTTATCAAGAAATGATAAACAACTGTTTAAACTAAAACATTTACTAGAAAGGAAAGAATGGGAAAAGATCGACAGAATAACACTCAGTAGAATGGAATCAACACTATAGTTGTTATCCAATGAGAGACAAACAAGAAAATGTAACAAAATCCAAACAAAACAACTCGAGACTCCGAAGACAAATATGAAACAGACTGTAATCATTCTCTCAAATCGGTCATTCACAGATGACGAAACAAGCTTACTAGCCAAAGGAGGAAATTTCAATATAACCTCACAGACAATACCTACAAAAGAAATCATTGCCAATATAGAAGCCGAAATTGAAAAACTACCACTTAATGTCAAAGAAGAGGTACACGCAGTTAATCTGCAAGAAATCTACGGAAAGTCAAACCACCAAAAAGCAATATTTTAAGAGGCGAGAAGGCAGTTATAAGAAATATCAATGAGGATAAAAACATCATAATTTTACCCGCCGACAAAGGAAATGCAACAGTTGTCATGAACACATCGGACTACAGGAGCAAGCTGGTCAATCAAGACACATACAGGAATATGACGAAAGATCCAACACAGAAGATTTTAAGAAAAACCACCAAATTAATAAAAGAGTCGTCACTACCGCCGGCGACAAAGAAGAAAATCTGCACTACTGAAGCAAGACTATGTGGATTACCAAAAATTCTCAAAGATAATGTACCACTAAGATTAATATCAAGTGCCCTAGGATCCACCAACTTACAACCTGGACAACCATCTGGAGAAAATACTGCAAAAACACGTGGGGCAAGACAAAATACTACGTGCGAGACTCTACGAACACTTAAAGAGTATAAGCATAGAGCCTAACGACATCCTAATCAGCTTTGACATCATTTTTTTTATTTACAAATGTGCCACTCGAAGAAGTAATAAGCTACATATGGGAGTTTTTCCAGAGTTCATCGATCTTTTTCGACACACGCTCACATCATATTTCCAGTGGAATCAAACGGAGTCGCCATGGACAGTCCACTCTGCCCAAATAGAGAGCTATTCGCACTGCTGAAAAGCAACTAAAGCATTGGCTGAGGTCCGTAGATGACACATTTGTAATCTGGAGTTACGGGAGAAAAGACCCAGAATTTTCTAAACCATCCCAACATCCAGTTCACATCATGAGTTGGCATCAAGGATCATGCCAAGGTATTACTGAGGCCCTTCTTATGCGGTTTTAATTTTCTTGAATAATTACTTCTAACTTAGAACCCTATTGATTTTCAGAATTTTTGGTTCATCCTAACTACTTTAATAACAATTTTCTAAAAATCCGCCTATGCATTCCTTATGTGATAATTTTAGGAATTTCAATTATTTCTAACGTCAAAATTCCTAACATTCTTTACATTCCATAAATTGCAAACATTCTCTAACGACCTGTCAAACAACAGCTGTTGATAGTAAAGGTGAAATTTCTAAGGTGGGTTGCGATCTTCATACTTTCAACCATATATCCATTTTGAAGGCTATTTTCATTTGAAATTAGTCGCCAAGCCTGCCAATTTATGAAAAATATATAAGCAGTTTCTCAAAAATTACTTTTTTATGGTGGTGCTATTAAGCGTACGCCTATTTCGCCCCTAGCTACAGAAACACCTTTAACAAATTTACTGGTTCTCTGTCGCAACCCCATAGAATAATTAACCGGCCATTTTATTTGGCAAAAATCAAAATAATGCTTGGCTGTGCCTGTCAAGTATCAAGATGTTAACTGTGATATGTGAATGGATCTTAAATGTCAAATTATTTAAAAATGTATACTTATTTTGATATTTATTGCAAATAATAAATATCTCAATTCAGGCTTTTCATAAATAAAAGTACAGCAAGACAGATAATATAATGTTCTTATACAAAATACTTTTTAATTATATAAAAGAGAGGTAGGATATAATGCCCATTTTAAATTTGGATCAATTATGATATCGTGGTATTTTGTTGTTTTTCATTTTAATTATAAAGTTGTCATTTTTTTGTATGTTGAAAGAAGGCCTTTGTAAATTACATTGCTCTCTATGGATCTACTTTAACCCAAAAATAGTTTCGTGGCTATAAGTTGCTATAACCTATCGTCGCAAAACTATTAATAATTTAAACATAGTAAGTAGTATTAATATAACATCAAGTAATTTTTTAAAATAAAGGGAAATACTTAAAGAGGGCAGGTTTAAAGAGTATTATCACAAGAAAGTATATCCGTTCTATTTAATTATCAAGTATTACTTTTGAATACATTTATTGTTTTTTGTTTAATTTCTGTAGGCAGTCTATTAAATTTTTTAAACCTTTATTAAAAATTGTATTTTGGGAACTTTTAGTGATGGCTTGCCGTACATGAAAGTCAGATTGATTTCTTATATTATAGTTGTGATATTGCAAATTATATTGAATTTTTTCTAATAGATCTGATGCGATGGTACTATGTCATATATCAGTCATGTACTAAACATAATTCTGAACTGAAAGCCAATTTATTTCTTTTAACATAGTTGCAATATTCATCCTTCTTTCCTTTATTAATAGAATATAAATAGGCGAAGTAAGAAGCCCAAATATTTTACATGAGCAGGCTTAAGAAGTAAAGGGGCCAATTATTATTGGATAAATTGCTCGAACAAGTTTTTAAACCCTAATCAAAAGACAATATAGAATGGTTTTGAAAATTAAAGCTTGTGAAAATCATCACATGATTTAACCTAAGTAATGCCAATGCTTCCCAAACCAAAAATTTAACGTGCTTATACTACTATCGGCTTTCGGTATTTTGTTCCAAGTTAAATCCTTTATCGTTTTTGTTACGCTACGAGTTTACCTTTGTGGGCCTTAATCTCGATAAGGTGGGTACCACCATTTTAGCGTCTCTCGAATTTTGTATTCAACTCATGATGTACCGTCTTTCCGTTGATATTTAGGGGAAAATGTTTCTTTATTAATGAAGTTCACATAAATAAATGAATGGTTTGGAGTTTTCTTACTGATCTTTCTTGGTACTGGTTAACTGCAAGAAGAGCGGTGTCATGAGCGTATGTAGCTACAGTCATATCTTCCAGAGCTGGCAAGTTACTAGATAGTAGTACAAAATGGGTCTCAGGTACACGGAGTTCTCTTTTCTTTTAAATTAGATTATTTGTCTTTCTGTTTGATTCTTAAAAGTCTGTTTGAGGTATATGATGTTATAATATCTACATATTGTTTCCTTCATGCCGCACCTTGTCAATGGCTCTATGTTTATATAAATATTTGAACTGATTTTATATCATATTTCTTCTTAAAAACTTGTGTATGTGCAGCATTTGAAAAATTATTATTTTAAAGACAAGAAAAATCAGATTACATTATTTCATTTTCCTAAAAACATTCCTTTCATCCGGGAAAATTTCAGCGGTTTCTATGAAAGTTACATAACTTGTTTGTGGGTTTTATTCCGATTCCGTATAAAATTCTCTCATTTCATTTTGGATTATGTTTAATGGAAAAGTGTCCAGTAGATTCCGAGAATTTTAAAGAAAGTAGTTTTATCATGATTTACTGTAAATTAGGTGAAAGTAATCTGAAGTTATTCCCTGCACGCCTTCTTAACTTTTAGAAACTTTCTTTTGGGATAGTTTAATGGAACGTTAATCTCTTTAAATAGTTTTCTTTTCCATTGAAATATGATATTTATTTTCCTTTTTGTAACGAAATTAGTGAAATGAACATCAAAAGTGGATTAATTTCAATATCCAGTTGGAGAAAGTCAGATTTTATAGAAATGAAAGCAAGATTTTATTAATTTTAGTTTAGAAAAATGATCTATTACAGAAATTGGTATAGGTAATTACCTTAAGAAAAGTTGTGCTGTTTCTACATTTAAATGGATTTAATATTTGGATCCAAGTGATTTGGAAATGTTTATAAGATGTCTTTCAAGACAAGACCAATACCTATCAAGTCTTGTCTACTTTATTATTGAGAGCATAATTAGAGGGGAAGCAAGCATTTAAAAAGAGGGCAGCAAAAGCTTCAGAAAAAAATTTCTTACGTAATTCTTGGTGGAGATAAAACAAAATATCTACTTAAAATATGGTTTTGGTAAAATAGAAGGTCAGTTTATCATAGTAATAATGTAACTTGAATACTCTGCAATGAAAGTATACAACAATAGTAAGACCAATCATCATTTATTGACTATAACCTGAAAAAACAGGCTACTACGAAAGCTAATCTCAAAGATACAAAGACTGGCCAGTGTTTGCATTACCGGTAGTATGAAAACCTATCGTACGGCCGCAATGGAGGTGTTCTTAAACCTCACATCTTATTCATTTGTTTTTTTGTTATTGTATCACTTGTCCTTGTGTCATTGTCATTCAATCCACCAGATTGATAAGATTTGGTTCTGGGTGAACTAAAGTACAGTTAGAACTTATTAGACAAGGTTAGACAATGGGCGTATACCTGTAATTGTTAAGAAATAGAAAGAGATAGATACTTTTGTTAAACATCTTTAAAGAGAACTGGAACTCTGACTTTTAACCTTTTTTTTTTGGGGTTGATTTGGTCACTCTCTAACATGACTTGCTGGGCTGCAGAAAGTTCTGTATCTACTTTTTTTGAAAAGGATTCTGCAAGTCAATTTAGAACCCAAAAATATTATTTGGAGATTATTTATTCTTGCATAATTTGTTAGATAGGGAATATACCTTAAAATTAGGGATTCCGATTATCCAAATAATATTAGATTTTACTATCTGGCCACCCTCCATCCTAGGTAAGTCTCTTTGAATTTGAAACATTAATATAAAAACCTTCGATCACTTTTGTTATGCACATTTTTACATCAAATATTTAATTAATCAACTCTGTGATTTGGGATTAGATAGATGGATATTAATTACTTGATAACTTCACAACACCGGCCAGTGTCCGATTCCTGCATTCATATTGTATATCTCGATGATCCTGGAAGAAAAACCAGAGTTACCAGTTAATTTAATCAAATAAGGAATACCAGACTTACCGAATATCCTTCACAAATACTAAGGTAGGACCTTCCCATAAAAACCAATCAATATACCCAGGGTAACCTTTATTCGGACCATCCAGTTAATACTTACACTGTCTCTTTAAAATTTAGATAGTAAATATCAGTTGTTTGTTGAACCATTAGATTACTTAATTGCTAGTAGCCTACTAATCTCTTGTAAATATATTTTATTTACAACCATATATGTAATGCTGTCATTACTAACGTCATTGAAGATTGGAAAGTGTCACATTACATACCTCTACTTCCCGCCCTCACTTCCCGCCCTCATTTCATCTATTCTAGATGAATATTTTTAATATTAAAAAAATAACACATTTTTTTGATAAATTTTATAATACCTATTTAATGGCAAACAATAAAAAACAACAATGAACTAAAATACAACAAACTACTTATTGATATTTATTATTCGCAAATTTAATATCCGGCTTTATCTGACATTTATTTATATTAGTGACAGTTGTTTACCCCGTAATCACGGTAACAATATATTTACTTGATAATTCTGAGAAAACCGCGCGCTTGGTAATTTGTCGTTAAATGTAATATTTTAGGTATGTTCAGAACGAAACAGAGATTTATTAACTTTGATCGAAATATGATGGTTGCAAATAAAATAGTATACAAACCTCGGTAGGAAGTTTCATTCCTGTCTCGAGATCATAGCTCACGACAGGAATGAAACTCTTCCCACCTCGGTGTGTAATATACTATTATCGTTTTTAAAGCAGGGTTTGGTCCTCATAGCGGGTATCTTTTCTGTATATGAATTAGTTTTATA